CGCCCCAAAAGGGACCCCTACAGCAATTTGGGAAACCCTAAACTCTAAGCCCTATATCCCCGCATAACTTTTAAAGGCACCCCTAATTCTTGGGAAACCACAAAAACCCCACACCCAAATCCATGGCACGGCACATCAAAGCTGTTCGTCCAAGGCAGTCCCTGTGCTCCAAGTTGACACCTGATGCTGACGAAGATGGGTTGCTGCTAAGGAACTTACGTTAAGGAACCGTAATGGGTGCGCATATATATATATATATGTCTATATATATATATAAATTAGTCATACGGCTTGCCCAATGCAGTAACTTGAGTAAATTCCTTAGCAGCAAGCCAGGGAAGGACTGCAATACAAGTAGTTAGGGACCAAGCTGCCTAATGCGCAACATAGAGGGCAGTGGAGATTGCAGGATTTTTTGTTGTCCGTAGGAAACATAGGAGTACCTACACATCGCGGCTGATTCCGAAGTGACCAAACAACAGCATGCAGCATGCAGGTGGCTTCGCTCTGCAAAATCTGCGTGTCCAAGGTTCGACGGCGCCCCCAAACGAGGTATGCCACAGACACTCGTTTGGGTCTTCATGGAGAGGCAAGGGATTCAAATGGTATGTTTCATTATCGCCTGACGGAGTCCCAAAGTGCACGGATGTGTTCATGACCCGTGAAGTGATCCTGTGATTTCCAGGTTCTTGTCCATTTGATTCTTGGCTGTCGGGATCATATTGCGATACACCTTCTAACCCCAGACTGACTCCTATACAAGAGTTATTTTACCTAACCATCATATGAAGAATCAAAACACTGATCCCTAAACCCAAATCCCGAAACACTATACAACTCCAACTAGGGTTCCACATTAAACTTCAGGCAAGAGGCCAGCCTCCACAACAGACCCGTATAGAAGATTCTCACACTTTGGGCCCGGCTAGCGTAGCGTTTAGGGTCAGGGTTCAAGGTTTAGAGTTTAGGATTAAGGTTTATATAGGGTCTAGGATTTATAAGGGTTCGGGGTTCAGGCGGCCATCAGGGAATAGGTAGGGGCGGGATTCATTGACGGACCTGATATGGGGCGTTGTTCAAAACATCCCATTTGACACTTCGAAGTCGTGCTCCACACAGACAAGCTGCTGCATGCACTTCCGAGACGTCTCTATGTGAGTTGTTGCTGTAGGTCCACCCACAAACTGAGCAACTGCTCACATGTGTAGAACTGAAACTGTGCGTTACTCCATGGCGCTTGTTGGATAGGCCCCATATCTCTTTCAGTAGGCGGCGGCCGAACTCCAGCCCCGTCCCGATACACGTAAAGAACAGGGAATACAGCGAGAGTTTCCGGCTGCCATCTTACAAAAACGGCCACAATAGCTCACTGGTGGTTAGCAGGGAATAAGGGTTCCCTACTAACCCGCAGCAAGATTTGGGCCAAAACTAGGACAATACACCCTACACCGCCAGAATGGGGACAGCGGCTTCTAGCAGTGCTGCCACCAGCACTCCTCATGCCTGGAGGGAGGGCTGCCTAAAGCCAAACGCATGGGCTTGGGGTTTTAGGGTTTTAG